AGCAACTATAGCTTGACTTAATATTTAGAATGTTGCTATGTTTAATGTGTATATGTTACCATCTTTATAGTCATTCCAGTCAGTTGTACTGTATCTACATTAAAACCATACAGGAAATGTTTTCTCAACTTACCTCAAAGCTGAATGTAGTGATTAATTGAGTGAGTTGTTGACATTGATAAGAAACGGCGTCATGGGGGTCATAAGACTTTATCAAGAGGTGAAAGATAAAGTACAATTTGTATTTAAAAGAGTACATTTATCATTTCAAGTTCCTGCAGGAGACCAAATATCGCAACAAATATGATGATCACACTGCATCCCGTGTTATGTGTGTGTGGGGGGTGCATCCATATATGCATACATGGATGTCTGCATGTGTGTTAAAAAGAGAAAGAGCTCTCTTTTTTTGGCCAAGTTAGCATTACTAGCACCATGTGTTAGTGTGTGTGTGTTTTTGTATAGAAAGTGCTGTGTGCAGTAGAACGGGGGATTTGGTGCCATCAGCATGGTGATGTCAGCACACAGGGACAAACAAAGCAAGAATCCAAACCCTCTCCCAACTACCCACAATCCCACTGGACACTGTTGGGGCCCTGCCTGAGGTTCCGCTCCCATTGAAACACACACACCCATGTTAACACAAGTAGACACACAGAAAATTAACACACGTGCATTTGCGTTCTCAAGGTCGGGTAATACACACACATGCAATGCATATATACATTCATACATGCGTGTTGTATAGTCGGTGAAACACACTCTGTATGTGCGTACATGTCAACTCAAATGTATAATCAGTACGCTCTATCGCTCATAGCCAATCTCTTTTCATATATACTGGGACTTAATCTGGGTTATTTGGTCCAATACATTGCTTCCTGATTCATTCTGGAAGGTAAAATAGTTTAGGAACTAACACCAACTGTAAATTACCTTTAGGAATGTTAAACCAATTATATAAGAAAGTTTTGTTTCGGAATAAAACACTTTTTGGAGACAAAAGGCGCGTTCACACAAAGTACTTTGCCGTACTTAGTTCCCAATACTTAGTTTCCATCAGAACTCTTAGTTCTGATTAACTAAAAGAGCAGACCGCGTTCACACCGGCAACAAGTCCCTGAGGGAGGATTACGCAAATGAAGCCGCTGACGTCACTTCTTCTTCTTCTGCTTGGGTTTACTGGCAGGCCACAAACAACTTCTCGGCGTATACTGCCACCCGAAGTCCCCCGGCCAGAAGTCCCCGGAGTTGGGGACTTCCGAGTAAATCGCGAGAACGCCGACACCTCCTCATCACTCCACCGCTCCCATGTTTTTTTGTGTTGCCATAAGTTATTCTCTCTCCGTTGGTGCGCTGGGCTAATGCTAATAATGCTAATGCCAGCAAATACAATGGCGGCTTCACAAAACCTTTCCGAGTTTTACGGGGCGTGGTTTGCAATCCGCCCAGCCAATCAGAAATGGGAACCTTTTTCTCCCATGAAAGTACCTGCTCTCTAGCAGGGACTAAAAAGGGGGGGAAGGTTCTCATTAACTAAGTTCTAGTTCCGGATTTTTTTGGTGTGAACGCAACATTTAAAGAACTATCGGAACTATACTGGGAAAAGTACTCCGGTGTGAAAGCGCCTAAAGTGTCAAGTACCATCGGGGGAACTAAACCGAAGTGTAAAATACAGTTGGAAACCTAACTTTAGTAAACTTAAACCAAATGTTAAGTGTTTAGGAAAATATAACCTGCTCTAAATGTACAAAATTACGTCAAATCAACCAACTACGTAGTGGCACCGTTAAGACATTTGGTCAGTCCTACAGTTTACAGTCTCCATGTATCGGGTGAACACATGCACTCAGGATGAACTGTGTACCAGAGCAGCAGCGAGTGAGCAGTCAAATCAGAAACACACCTCTGTTTGCTTTGGGCTGGCCCGCTGCCACTCTGCTCCGGCCTCAGACGCATGCCTTGCAAATGGGAACAGACATTACTGTTATTGTATTCGCGGTGGAGTTCATATGAATATACTGTGACTACTGAGGCAGACGTTAATATAGATATGATAACGTGTTGCGATAACAGAGCTTAGGCGTGACATGTTTATCTTTGGGAGTCAAGTCAAGCTGATAAGGCAGACTTATGCTGAAACCAACAACTTCTAATATACGTCGCTTATATTCTGAATTATTTATATCTGTTCCCTTGTAGCACTTTCCTTACTAATTTTCTACCATACTGTACCCATATGGGAATTCAAACACTCACTCATTAAAACATGTTATAAATAACCTTGCCATACCCCACAAGCTATACAACAAAACTGATTTTCTAAAGGCATTATACGTTAACAGAATGAAATCTCCTTTTACCTCATTCTTTCACATCACAGACCAATGTTTTACTCATGTAAATACTATATTATTGTTATTACCATATATTATATTGACCTAAATTAAACATTTTTCTTACAAAAGCATATATTTGCAAAGCACACATATTGTAATAGCTTATGACTTGTAAAAGTCAATGCTTAAAATCATTCTACAAAACCTTTCCTTTCATTTCAGTCGTTGTCACTGTTTTCTTTTAAAGTATGGTGGAAACGCACATAATAAACATTCTTTCTCCACAAATTTGACATCTGAGGTTTTGTAGACACTTCCAATATTTGAGGGCTGTTTAGTGAATGGGTTGATCAGGGAGCATGCGATGTTAACGTTAAAATGTTTACAACTCCTATTGACAGTAATACATTTAAACAGAAAAAAAGTCTTTAAAACCAATCAGTGTACGGCACCTCTAAACACTAAAATACAAGAAAGAGAACCCAAATGTTGCATAAGTTTTGGTTTGAATGTCTCTATGAAATGAGGGTCAGCCCTTGCATATATTGTCTAATGTCTAAATAACTTTCTGTAAAACAGCATCATGTCGGATGGCACCATGTCAGCTGGATGGTGTGACTTTCTGAAATAACTGTACTGCTTTCTGTTTAAATGCTGCCATCTCCTCCTCAAACTATTACACAACAATTAGCAACTGTTTGCTGTTTGTCTCTGCTCTTTAAAATGCCCTTCTGTCCAAAAACAGTTGGAGAAAGACTGGGCCTGTGTGTGTGTGTGTGTGTGTGTGTGTGTGTGTGTGTGTGGTGTGTGTGTGTGTGTGTGTGTGTGTGTGGTGTGTGTGTGTGTGTGTGTGTGTGTGTGTGTGTGTGTGTGTTGTGTGTGTGTGTGTGTGTGTGGTGTTTGTGTGTGTGTTGTTGTGTGTGTGTGTTTGGTTGTTTGTTGCTTTTTGGGCAGTGGGATTGGGGTTACTGGGCAATACTGGACCCAAACAGGTCCTCATTGTGCTTCAGGAGGAAGAGCCGGGTCGTGCTGCACCCTATTCAGCCCTGTTTAGAGTATGTGTTTGTTTGTGTGTGTGAATTTATGTCATATATAATGAGGGAGTTTTTCATGTTCTAATGGCTGCTATGCTACATTAGTTTAAACCCAACGACTCGTTGGGTTTAAACTAATGTAGCATAGCAGCCAACGAGACAGCGAGACAGCTTTTTACTTTCTGAAACTAAACTTTATTGCAGTGCATAAAGACAGGAAAGTCAGCGAGTTACTAGCCTGAATGATACTTGTTGCCTGGTTACACAACTGTGTATGAGGGCGCAGGGCTTACTGTTGTGGTTGTGCAATGATGTAGCTTTTGCCAAGGTTGTGTGAGGTATTCAACACTACTGATAATGTCAAAAATAATAATTGTGTGGTCTTCTTTTAGTGACACTCTCCGTTTTCTCATTGCCATCACTGCAGAATCACATCTATTCTTGAGGCAAACCTCTCCTGTGATAAAATGGCATCCAATGTAATAAAAAAAGTCAATCAAAGAACTAGATTCCTATACCGGATCTCCTCTCTGGTAAACAAAAACACCCTGAAAACTCTGGCAGGAGCACTCATTCAAGGGTACTATGACTATGCTTGCACGTCATAGTACCATAGCACCTCCAAGGCGCTAAAAATAAAACTTCAAACATCGCAAAATAAACTGGTCAGACTACTGCTTGACCTTTCATCTAGAACCCACCTCACCTCTGCCCACTTTGACAACCTAGGATGGCTTAGAGTAGACGACAGAGTACAGCTACTTGCAATGGGCCTGGTCTACAAGATCCACTACACCTCTATGGTACCCATGTACATGTCAACATTCTTCCCAAAGGTCAAGGAATACCATGATCATAACACCAGAGGGAGCTCCACAAATCATGTGAAACCCAGATTTGGCACAAAAAAGGGGGAATACACGTTTCGCAATTATGCCACAATCAAGGTGGAACGCTCTTCCCACAACTGTAAAGGAAAGTAAAACTATACTCACCTTCAAAACCTCTCTTAAAGAGCACCTTCGGGGGAGAGCAATTGCAAAACTGGCCCCGGTAATGGTACAAAATCTCAACCTGTCGTTCAATGGACAGCTTCCCCCCCCCATCTATGTATATACTCGCATTTTAGACTCTGTTACTAACTGTATATCTGTAGACTTGGTATGTCTTAAATGTCCGGTTAGGATGTATTAGAACGAAATCTAAAATGAAAATTGTAAACAAGCAATCTGTATGTAAAAAACCACCTGTATGTAAATTGTAAATAAGCCATCTGTATGTCAAATATGTCTTATATGTCTTAAATGATATGATGAATTGGAAATGGGGGACCCTGATGTAAACGAGACGAAAGTCTTTCTCTGGTCTGCATCCCCTTAACAATTGTATGTTTTGAGCTGTACTGTACTGTACCCAATATACAAGCTGTTAATAAACTTTTCAATCAATCAATCAAAGCAGCTGCTGTTACTGCTCTGATCTTTATGTAAATACTGTAAACATACTTTTCTCTTTGATTGCGTGAAACACCGCTCTTAACAATCTGATCTCTGTAAATCTACAGGGTCCAAAAATGTCACTGATCATCACTTTAATATTCTTTTTTATCTTTGATTTGTTTCTCCAGTGACATAACAGGAGAGTGAAGACAGGATCAAGAGACCAGGACAATTTATGAACCCGATGGCATATGGGAACTGGTAGGTTTAAGACACACACACACACACACACACACACACACAACACCACACACACACCACACACACACACACACACACACACACAACACACACAAACACACCACACACACACACAACACAACACACACTACTCACACACACACACCACATCACACATCTACACCACACTACACACACACACACACACATCACAACACACACATACACACCGTGTAGTCCCATAGAGAGACACAGCAATGCCCTGGAGGGTGCCAGTCATGCCCAGCTTCCGCTGCGCTCCAAATTGAGCGTGGCACTGAGTGTATGAAGTCAGCCGTCTGGAAGAGAGCCAAGCATTGTTCCTTCCCGAGCCGCTGGATGGTAATTACTAGAAAGAGACGAGAGGGAGAAAGATGGGAGCCCTCTCTACCTCACTGTTGCTTCCTCTCATGGTGCATGTATCATATTAGAATATATAGTAAAGCAGAGCTGGGGGCCATATTAATGTAAGTCATGAGAATGGGATGAATATATGGCTCACGGCAGTAAAAAAAAAACTTGTTCACAAAGTTACACCACACAAAGGACATAAACACTTAATATATAATGGAATATCGTGCAGAGAGATGAAAGGTGATCTTATGTACTGTCTATCAAGGCTGTATTTACATGATAAACACTTCATTACATTAGGAAATGTATTTGAACATTTATATAGTATGCAAGCAACTAAAACAATCAGATGTGGCTTTACAAAAAAATAAATAATAGTTTGAGCAGTTGTCATGGAGGTATAGTGTAGTATGTCGTACACGGTTCCCATCCCGGCGCTAACTGTGTGGTATGTATGTATTGTGAACTAAATATACCACTGAGCTTAGTCCATTAACAAACTGCTTAAAAACACTGTGATGTCTGTTCAAAATATCCAGAAAAGCTTGAGTGAGGATTTCTTTTTGGTGAACACTTCAAAAGATTTCAAAACATATAAACAATGTGCAGGTAAAAAAAACATTTCATTTAGCTTTCAATGTATATTTAATACAATCTCAAAGTATTTCAGCTCATCTAGGACCATTGAAGGAGCTTCCCTAACATTGTATTTCATCCTTAAACTCCTTGGACACAAAAACCCTTGCTAGAATATCTAGCATGTGCAAAAGGAAGCTAATGCAGAGATCTGAAAGCAGTCGATTGATGTGATCAAATGTGTGACTTAGCTATTGTGGGCCTACAGTCCTCTTTGATTGATAAGAGAGACTAACAATGTCAAACAAATAGTTATAAATGAAGTGCAACTGAAAAACATAAACAAAACTAGCTGTTGCTGGTTCTAATATGTTTTATCATCAACATTACAGTCTCAAATATATTATATTTCCAAAAATGCATTTCTACTATTCTAAGTAAGATCTCCATACTAAACTACATTGGTAATGAACATACTTACACAACCTGAATACTCACTATTTCTCTACACATTACATCAGTTTTTTTTGTTCAAAACTGAAGAAATGTATGTACATTTATCTGCTTTCACAATATATATGATGCTGGAGGAAGATAGAAGAAGAGAGGGGGAGAGGAAGAGGGAGGGTGGGGAGATATTTGCCATCATCCAGGCCGGAGGAATGTGTCAACTCGCTGTCAACTATGCACTGCTTTGTCATGAAACCACAGAGCAGTGGAAACACGTAAAGTTTCCTTTTTCACACCTTTCGACTCCTTCCTCCCTCCTTCCTCCGCCTACCCCCTCTCCCCCCACTCTCACACAGTGGCAGCAGTAGCCGGGCCTGCAGTGCTAGTGCAGCTGTGACCAGAACAATAGCATTCCTCAGGTTTTAAACGGCCTGGCACTTAGATTCCTAACAGTCAAATTCCTGGCTGGGAGAAGCTGGGGGTTGCTATGGGACGCCGAGAGCTGTGAGACGCCTTGTAAGGAGGCGCACAGCTGTAAAGCGCTGTGTGATTTGTGTTTTTTATGAGAAGGATGGATGGGTTCATGGGGAGGCAGATGGGGGGGGGAACTCTGTTGTTCCACCTCACGTCCTCTTTTCCCAGATGTGACATTTCCAACACTCCAATTTTATCAGTTTAGGTGGAGAGGCGTCCCGCTGCTTTGTTGGGGCATCGTGTGTCGATGGAGGCACCTGTTAAGTCAACATGTGAGTCTTGTGATGCGTTTTTCTCACATGTGGTGCAACAAGCCTACTGATGTGTGGAAAACGTCACTATTAGTTTGAAGAGTGTTAAATTAGGTGTTAGCAAATGAAACAAACACAGATATGTTGTGTGTGTATGACAGACAGGTGGATGTCACTTTGCATATACTCCTTTCTTACATAAGATACAAAAAAGATGCATACATTTGGTATGAGGCGGTAAAATAACCACTAATATCTCTCCTATTTCCATTTTTGTTTGTTTCAGAAGCTTTTCCTAAAAACTCAACAATTATCAATTCATTATTTGTTCTTATTTTTATGCTAATTTTGAGCTACTACTCAAATAACTTCACTGACCACTAATTCATCTTTTTCTTCCGAGAATGCTTTTATTTTGAAATACTGTTCTTTGCTGTTTTTTAGAGTAGTGGAAAGCCCAACTGCTTTGCTTCTTAACCAGTGAATAATTTAGTCTTTTAACCTACGCGGTAAATAAACATATACATAAAAAAAATCACTAACAAGCTTCCCTATTTTCAATGTTGTTTGTTTCTTACATAAAACATCATGTCATTGTAAAAAAAAATCTACTATCATGATTACTTATTTGTTCTTTTTATTCTAATTCTCTCTCTTTTTTCCTTCGAGAATGCTTTTATTTTGAAATCCTGTTCATAGTTGTTCTTTAGAGTAAAAGAAAAGCCCAATGCTTTGGCCTCTCACATCATGTGCTCCTCTGGTGGCTTTCCCTCCACTCAGCACTGAGCTGCCCCACTATCAGCCCATCTGAAATAACCCCACAAATAATGATTCTCTCATTAACCACGCCTGTTTCACACATTTAAATATAAATGAATCTAATTTAGAAAACCTCGGCCACGATGAAGGGGACTCATTTAGAGCCAATCTAAAATTAATGAGAGCATCTGGAGAGAGAGGGAGTGAGAGTGGAGAGGGGCCCCGGCGTTAACAGATACCGGAGTTACTTTAAACACTGGGAAAATCCCCTTTAATTTTAAAGTTACGCACTACTGTACTCTGAATGCTGCGCCAAAAGAGCTTTAATGTTAGTTCTAACACATTACAGCCACATCTTCAGACTGACTCTTGGCCTCTTGCTGTCAAGCGTCCTTCGTAAGCCCGCGTTTATCAGACTCTGCCTGGTCATACAGAATTCTAATTTTCGGGACTTTGTAATACAATGGCAGATAGATATGTTTTGCATGAGCACAGGATTCAACCCCGGGACTTGAAAGCTGTCACTGTCACTGTTAAAATAGTAGCAATATAGATGGAGAATCTCTCCATGATGCCTCAAAAAAAACATCCAAATAATTTCAATGAATTGGAATATTGGTCATTTACATATGGCAGGAAGAGTGACCATCACATCATGAACAGTTTATAATGTTGAAGATTAGGAAATGCTGTAATTTGTAAGAACAAGCTATCATGTCCCCCAGTTAATTGACTGTACTGCAGGTTTGCATAATATATATTTACATTCTCACTGATATGCAGATTGCAACGTCCTTTCCCCCAGCAAGCCGTTTGAGGGTCTGCAGCAGATGCCAGCCAGCTCCCACAGCGACTGTTTGTTTTGCAGGTTTAATTCCCGATGGGTTGGGGTCCAGAGTGATTAGGCTGAGCCCTGGAGGCCAGGGGCTTGTCAGGTGTCTCCACACATTAACGTTGTTCTGCTCACACCCTGAGCCGACAGCACAGCGAGGCAGAGGGGGAGAGGAACACTGATCTGCCGTGGTGGGAGGCACACAGGGCAGGGAGACACTGTATTGTTCACCTAAGACTTAAAAATAAGTTTGCTTTGAATTTGTGTGAGATTAAGGGTAATGTAATGAGACCTATAGGATTATTGACAGTGTTGTTTTCTCTTGTCGTTGAGGAAAGTCACAAACCTGGCTCGAGACTTTTTTCTATTAGAGAACTGCATTTGTATCTGTGTCTTTACTACATTATTCAAAGTACAATAAACATTGACGTTGGGATGTACTAACAACTCTTGAAAGTTTGAAAAAGTTAGAAAACACAATAGGCGCTTTCACACCAGAGTACTTTTCCCAGAAATAGTTCCGATAGTTCCTGGGATGTTGCGTTCACACCAAAAATATCTTTTTTTTCTGGAACTTTTTCTCCCCTTTTCAGTGCCTGCTAGAGAGGTGGTACTATCCTGGGAAGAAAAAGGTTCCTATTTATGATTGGCTGGGCGGATTGCAAACCACGCCACGTAAAACCTGTAAACGTTTTGTTTTGTGTGCATTGTATTTGCTCACATTAGCATTATTAGCATTAGCCGTGCGCACCAACGGAGAGAGAATAACTTATGGCAACAACAAAAAAAAACATGGGAGCGGTGGAGATGAGGAGGTGTCGGCGTTCTGGCGATTTATTCGGAAGGCTTCAGCAGAAGCTGCTGGGAGTCCCAGCAGCTTCTGCTGAAGCCAGTCCCCAACTCGGGGGACTTCCGGCCGGTGACTTCGGGTGGCAGTATACGGCGTGAAGTTGTTTTGCGGCCTGCCAGTAAACCCAAAGCAGAAGAAGAAGTAGAAGTGACGTCAGCGGCTTCAATTTGCGTAATCCTCCCTCAGGGCCTATGGTGTTTCTCAATGTCGAGTACGCTTGCTTGGTAGCACATGTCTTCCGAGTCACTTGCTTCAGAAGCGAGGCAAGAATACTTCCTGGCATTCAGAAAACAAAGAGTGGAACAGGCGAGCAGTGGGCATATGAGAGGCCCCGCCACAGCATTTTGGGGAAATTGGTCCGTGCGCAAAGCATTGTGGGGATTTAAGACACGGAGTCTACACATGGTGCAGAATCGAAATTTCTCACTACGAAGTA